AAAAAAAAAAAACGCAATAAAGTTGAATAGACAAGTTAAAATTCACATAGAAAGACTCGGACTCCTCGATGGACAGGGAGACAAAAGGAAATAAAAAAAAGACATTGTAAAAGAGAAAGGGAGCAAAAGGAAGAAGTACCCAGACCGCAGCCAATTAAACGATACAAACCTACAGAAATGAAGGGGGGGGGGGGGGGGGGGGGGGGGGGGGGGGGGGGGGGGGGGAGGGGATAGGGATCATAAATTAACCAGAAGGAGGCTAAATGATACACACCTACGATAATTGACTGCCAGGTTATACCGCTAGTACATGGCCCCAGCCGTGTGGAGGCTTGTTTGTCACCTACTCCGGAAGAGTCGGCGCACAACGGACGGCATCACCTTTCGGTCTCTGAACTTGAGTCGGCCCGCGGTCGGTGTATGTGACGTACTGGTGATTAACACCACCAGTACCTCCACGCTTTTATGCCATTAACGAGGTGGCTGAATCGGTGCGCCGCACAGGTCTATATGCATTTGCGTCAGAACCCCTCCAGAGGGGGCCTAAGACCCCCTAGGGTAACTGGTGATCTAAGGGTTGAAACTTGACACTTGAAACTCTGCTCAGTGCCAGAAAAAAAGATTTAATGCTAACCCTTAACCCCCCATCTTCCCCGAAGAGAAAACAGAAAAAGCATGGAAGAATCACCCAAGAAAAAAAGGAGGATTGGCAAAAGGGACACACAACCAAAAACACAAATGAACCTCCACATGGGTCCTGTAGCTTGTTAATCAACGGCATCAGAAGAGGCATAGCTTCAGCCAGAAAAAAAGACCGTTTCATCGCACTTTCACCAACTGGTATCCACTGGTACTTGTGGTTTCAACCACCAGTGCCAAAACTTCCGCACGTACACCGTAGCTGATGGATGTCACGTATGATCACAGCAGCGACGCGGACTGTCCGCTCAATCCTGGGACGACTGGTGGACATGGGGACCGTCTGCTCAATCTGGGCACACGGACAGATGACAAGCCGGGCGGGGGGAGGTGGGGGGGGGGTGCATAAGGCAGGGAGTTCGGGGTCACAGGAGCCTGGGTTGGGCCATGGGTATGGTTGGGGGTTTAGGGAACGACCGGGGGAATTTTCTCTGAGGAAGGATGGGAATCAAGTACTGGAATCGAACTTTGCACTGCCTCAGTGGTCTTCTCCTCCTTCGTTTTCTGTCTCCATCTCCGGCGCACGTGCAATCAATGGTGCCGTGGATGCAAATGCGGGCACGTGGACGCCACACATCCAGGCGCTGCTCCAATTTTCATTCTGGACTGGATACAATGCAGAGTCCCTTCTCCCCAGAAAAGGACACTGGACTGTTGCATCAATCAAATTCTATCATTCCTTGAAAGCGTCGGATCACCACATTAATTCACCATACTTTTCCTCTCTGCAGCTGCTCCAATTTCTCCTGACATCCTCCCCCTCCTCCTCCTCCTTTTCCTTCTGCGTTTCCTTTTACGGTGCGCTGCAGCCTTTCTTATTTACAATGCTACAGCACTGTGGTTAGGACTGGTTAAAAAAAAAAAAGAAGAAAAGAAAAAAAAAAAAGAAAAAGGAATGGTTAGACCAACAACAGTCCATTTCCTAGATATCGCATTTTGACGGAGCAGTTAACCCGTCGCAAGATCGGAGGATGGGGCCCCGCGGCCACCGGACAGAGAAGGCCGGTGTTGCCTGGCAATTCCGCCAGAGCACCGCTTCGTTTCTTTTCGCGCACGGCAGAAATCTGAATAAAAAACATATATAAGAGACTCGAACGGACTGGTAGTTTTTAAGGGTACATACTACATAGTACATACTTCATTCTTTTCACTCTTTCTGGACACATTCTATCGCTGAGAGACCTTCCCTCAACCTGAGGCTTCTGAGATGCGACCAACCCCTACCCACCAAAGCACTAGGCCACTCTGAGAGAAAGGGCGGGGAAAACAGCAAATCAGACCCCTATAAGCGTCGAGACCCCATTCTGAAAAATGGGGTCTCGACGAAGTGCTGCGCTAGGCCATTCTGACAGACAGGCCGGGGAAACGGCAAATCAGACCCCTATCAGAGTCGAGCCCCCAGTCTGACAAATGGCAAACGAAGTGCTGCGCAACCCCCCCCCCCCCTCCTCCCCCCTCCCCCCACCAAATCTTTCTGGGTATTTTCTACTAAGGAGAGACTTCCCTCAAACTGAGGCTTCTGAGACGACCAACCCCTATCTGCCGAAGCGCTAGGCCGTTCTGAGAGAAAGGGCGGGGAAAACAGACCCCCGTATAAGAGTCGACGAGACCCCATTCTGAAAAATGGCAAATGAAGTGCTTCCTTCCCTCCCCCTCTGGCCGCGCATGCGTCAGGATCGTATTTGAGAAAATGCTCGGCTCCTGTCTGGATTCCTCGCGTATACGTGTGTCTGTGTGTCGTCATGTTCGCTATACACAACTCCACAAAAACGAAGCATGACCGTGGCAGACTGTTTCATTGGACTTTCACCGACTCATCAGGAGGTTACGTGTGTGTGGGTTCCATAAAGATCACTTAACATTAAAAAAAAAAAAAAAAAAAAAAAAAATCCATCCAAAAACTACAAGGGGTTAAAAAGAGCCCCAAGACCGGTCTTATTGTGTGCTTAGGTGCCAGGGGCCCACACAAGGGGTTATTCTGAGAGAAAGGCCATCTGCCGTAAGGGCAAACCTGCATGTGTGTCTGTGTTTGCATGTGTGACTGTGCTCCGTCTGCCTGTGAGAGTGTGTGTTCCCTCAGATCCTCCTCAAACACAGAGGAAAGGCATCGGCATCTGCGTAAAAGGGATGCTGGACTCGGTTCCCAGCACATGCTGCTATCCACGGATATGACCGCAGCGAAAAAAAAAAAAAAAAAAAAAAAAAAAAGGTGTCCCCTCCATCATACATGGGCTCTTGTCCCAGTTTGATAGTGAGCTGCAGCCGTGGTGGTCTTCTCCCCTCCCCCCAAAAAAAAAGGAAAAGAAAAGAAAAGAAAAGAAACAGATGCCATGCTTGTTGACCCTCAACCTGAATCCAGTCTTCATGTCTGTCCGGATCCTCTCAACTCCTTGCCTTGCTAACGCTAATTTTGGAACTTGACCCGGAGGACATACCGCATGCGTATCTGGTCCACATTGTATACGATATACTCGTTGTAACAAAGATACCCCTGCAAAAAAAGTTGAAGTTTGAAGATTAAACAACCACGCAACAGGAAAAACAGCGTCAATACATTAAATAATAAACATAGTTACACCACATTGCAATGAGACGGCCATGCATGGACCACTTCGTCTTGAACACAAGTCTCAGATCACACCGCACTCACACGAGACACACAGGAGATAACGAAGCCCAGACGATTCTCAATAGTTAGCGGAAAACTTGGTTGGCTTCTTCATCACCAGCGGCTATGGCTGGTCACCTCAACATGCAGGCGAGTCTCTCTCTCTCTCTCTCTCTCTCTCTCTCTCTCTCTCTCTCTCTCTCTTCCACTTAGGATGCTCTCAACCTCCAAGTCCTCACTCGTCTCTCAGAATCTCTCTCTCTCTCTCTCTCTCTCTCTCTCTCTCTCTCTCTCTCTCTCTCTCTCTCTCTCTCTCTCTCTCTCTCTCTCTCCCCACTTAGGATGCTTTTGACCTCGCAGTCCTCACTCGTCTCGCAGAATGTCTTCCTCTCTCTCTCATACTACAGCTATGGCGCCCAGCGCGGTTTACTACTCAGCCCTGCACTCTCCCTCACTCACCGGTCGCCACTCCAACGTACAAGACCGCAGCAGCGCTCCTGCATTGGGTGCAAAACACCACGTGTCCAAGCCCAAGCGCTGCTGGACTTTTATAGTTGCTGTTCCGCCTTCCAGACTTGGGTTGGATGAAGGGCAAGGGCACGGGAGGGGGTTTCAGTCATATGTGAAGTGGCTGCAATGTTATGGTTCAAGAGAGAGAAAAAAAGGTAAGAAAACACAGCTTGGGTTGCCAATCCGGTGCCAAATCAATTGTCCCAAAAAAAAAAAAAAAAAAAAAAAAAAAAAAATCAATTCCTAGAACAGTGCAATCTCACACCAGCCTGAGTAATATCTGCACACTCGCAAACTTAAAACAAGTGCAGTTCCTTCAACTTCATCGAAGCTCATTCCCCATTTATTGGATCCCTTTTTTGTTTTCCTTTTTTTTTTTTTCCAAAATGGTTCCCATATTGCTTTCATAGTTTGTCAATGCCTAAAGACAAATTGTGACAACACTGAAGCATATCCATCGTGCTACCGTCTTCACCCAAATAGAACACCCCGTAATTATCGCTGTACCTGGGGTCCTGGACAGGACGTTGGCCCAAATACAGCTATAATGACCGGGCGTTTTATTCGGGTGAAGACAGTGGTCCCAGATCCTTTAGAATTCAAATCTCAAACATAACTGGAGACGGGAGGGGGCGTAGAGGGGGGGAAGGGGGGAAGGTGTGACATTTATTTGTCACTTAGCAATGAATGTATTGTTTATCCTGGCTGCGTGATATATTTAAAAAAAAATCATAAACAGGAAAGAAAAGAATGGCTTATCCTGCCATGTCTATCACACATACTTGCAAGCGGACGCCGTCCGGGCGGTTCCGGACGTGCGTCAGACTGCCGGACCGGACCCGTGTGGCGCACGAATGTGCGCCCGACGACCAGTTATGCCCCACCCCCCCAAAAAAAAGAAAAAAACGGCCCCGTCCGGTCCGTCTGCTTGCAAGTATGCTATAACATAATCGATTAATCACGTAGATAGCGTGTTAGGATTGCTGCCTGATATATCTCTGAGTTTTCATTTTGATGACAAATTACAATTATATAAAATCATAAAGAGGAAAGAAAAGAATGGCTCCCTGTGTATAGAACTCAGGAACACAGGCAGCCTTTTTTTTTTTTTTTTTTAACAGGTCCTTATGGCCCTGGCTCCATATCCATTCTGGGGGTTGTCAGTCCGGTTCCTCACAGGCAGCCATTCTTTTCTTTCCTCTTTATGATTTTATATAATGCAGAAAAGGGCACAAGGCTGGGGACTCAGTGGAGGTAAAAAAGTGCCAGGGACGAGAGACGGGTGAGAGAGCGAAGGGATTCACTTGCCTTGTCCACATTTGTGTCTTTTCCTTTTCCCAGCGGAACGACAGTCCCGTCTGGAAGTTTGATTGCGTCCTTTGGATCTGGTGCCACTTTACCAAGTCCCTTCGTGCTGCAAGAAAGGGAAGAAAAATTAGAAAATGGCAATGTCATAAATCTGAAGAAGGTGATGAAGAACCTGTTCGCAGAAAAAAAAAAAAAAAAAAAAAAAAAAAAAAAAGAATCTGATGAAGAATGTGACCTAATTCACCAAAAAGATTACGACAGCGGAACAGCAGGATTGAAGGTGGGACTTCCCACAGTTGGGAAGAAGTCCCGAAGGTGGGTGGGACTTCCCAGTGTTCCCACGGTTCTCACTAACTTGCAAGGAATATGAGCGGCACCGATAGGCAGAAATCCAGATTGCAAAATCACGAAGTAGCGCTGCACTGGGTGGGCAGCAAAAAAAAAAAAAAAAAGATCGTACTCTACCTGAGTTTGCCAGGTGGAAGTTTGTTTGCATTATAATCTGCATCGGTAAGCTCTCTCATGTCTCCAAGTGCCACCTGTCATGCAGAGAGCGCAACACGCATGACCACCACACAAAAAAAAAAAAAAAAAAAAAAAACATGCACCAGAAGACACAGCCTCATCAGGACATTTACATAGAAAGCTGATGACATGACCAGCCAACAAGGCACAGAGATAGAAATACAGGGTAATCAATCAAAGACGACTAGCAGGAAAAGCAGACTAATTAATAACTTAGTAATAAGCGGATTGATTCGGGGGATGAATCCAAGACAGATGAATTGCAGTTGTCGTGGAAGAGGCATGCAACGACCATCTGTTCATACTACTTCATAGCGACCTCACAACTTCACAAGTGCTTAACACAACTTAACATGGATGGCCACTTTTCAGCCCCAGGTGAACAACCCCGCCCCCCCAACACTAAAAAGTTTTTGGTCAAGGTCTGTGTTGGGGTTTTAGGCCCCTTTGATCCATTTAAAAAAAAATATAGCTTTTTTTTTTTTTTTTGCTGTTGGTTTATTTGATGTCCACTCTATGGACTGGTGACAAATGTCTGGCTAAAAAGGTGTGACAGGTTTGTTATAATGACCCTGAAAAAGCCCTGCCCTGAAAAATTAGGGCTCTCTTAACCTCTTCTCAGCGACCTGAGCCGAGATTATGCCATGCACATCCTAACCAAACCGTGCCTGTATGTTTGCACAATGGCATGGTG